AATAATTCTTATTTACAAAATCAAATTAAACAAATCAACTTTTACAAATCAATTAATCAAAAAATAAATCTTATTTCCTCATCAATTAAACAAATCAACTTTCAATGTAAAATTCAATTAAACAAAGAAAAAAAAGTGTACCCCAGACTGTTGTTTATGCACAAATACATTTCACGCAGTTCACTTCAGGATTAACCTGTAGAAGCCAAACATTTGCTCAAACAACACTTTCTACGCATCTAAAACCAACAAACAACAAATTACTCTATGTACTTAACCAAATATTTTCAAACCAATTAAAGAGTATATATGTTAACAACACTTGCTCAAACTTACCAATTATTTATGTACAACTTTCAGCACGCGGATGCAGGTAGGCAGCGTCTCGCATATATCGATCTGGCCATATAATGCCGAAACCACAAGCCTACTGCAGCTCTATCTCTATCTGTGGGAGGTAGATACTGTATACTTCCTGTCGTCAAACGTTCCAAGCACAAGCATACGAGAGGACCACAATCCCCTCTGGCTCCCTGCGTTTATTGTGGCACAGTCTCGTCTCTGATCATTGTAATTTTAAACTTTTTTGGCTTCTTGTTTACAGAATTTGTCCAATAATCAATCGCATTCAAGTATTTAGCCAAATGATCGCTCCATCCCTTTGTAATAATATATCTCAAATCAGACAATGATATGTAATTCAACATGCTGTCATATACCATTATCTTCAGGGATGGGAGTTGAAGCTCGACGAGAAGCCAATGACGATGTTCCAAAACAGGGATAAACACTTGCAATCATAAATAATTGTGCACATCAAATAAAATTTATGAAAACCTTTAAAATATTCAAAAAATAAATACTAACCTTATCGACCTCCCACCACGCAGGATAAAGTTTAGCTTTTCCATTAGCCAACTTATATGAAGCATCTCTTTGATCATTCAAGTGAGCTGCTTGAAAAAACGTCGACATAATAGTCCATCGAGTACCTCTTTTCTTCAATTTCCTTATTATTAGAATACATGACACTCATGCATTAATATGTTGTTTTATAAAAAAATAAATATATTAGTGAATTTATTAATAATTAAAAAAATTAATCAAAATGCAATATAAGAAGAATATAAGACTTACCACCCTTTTGAGATAACTATTATCTTCAACCCCTAATAAAACACCCCACCAAGACCGATCAAGAAACAAATGAATAGCATCGTCGATTTGGCATTGGTCAGAATAACACCCCTTGCTCTGCTCATGTAGATAAAAATCAACTACGGTCTTAGCCCAAAAGGTATTATCCGTAATTGTGTCCGGTAGTGTTTCCCTCTCCTGCTGAGGAATGGTACTGACCGGTAACATATACGAAAGCCAACTCGCATCCATCATATCGGGCACGCGAAGGGATTTATCAATATGTCGACATATGCATCGGGCTCTTGAACGGAGGGCGGGACCTCTTGAACGATGACGGGGCCTCTTGAACGGTGGGAGGGGCTTCTTCGATGATGAGAGAGGCCTCTTGAATGATAGAAGACGCCTATTGAATGATGATAGGTGTATCGGGCTTCTTCTTATGGGGTCTTGACACTAGTGGGGTGAACGAAGACGTAATGTCACGTGCACGACGTCTGATGCGTGAACCCCGTCGTGCAAGAAAAACCCGACGTAAAACATCTACCTTATCGGGCTGCTGAAAATAAATTAATACATAAATCAGTAAATAAATAATGCCAAAAAAAAGGTTATTTATATTTTTAGTATAGTATTAAACAAATTTACCTCATTGCGTAGAGTATGAACCTCATTCTGCAACGATAAAACAATCTCGCGTAGAGCGACAACCTCATCACGTAAAGTAGATACCTCATCACGTAGCGCACCATTGTCATCGCATAAAAAATCCACCTCATCATGCCATGCACCATTATCTTCACGTAAAGTAACGACCTCATGACGCAAAGAACCGACCTCATCACGTAATTCCCCTAACTTATCCCGTGGAGGTGGAGAACTGGGAGATAAATGTCGTGGCCTCTTTGTCGGTCGACTATCATGAGGTGATGGTGGAGAAGAGGCTCGATGATGTGATAGAATAGGTGATGGTGGAGGTGGAGAAGAGGCTCGATCAGGTGATGGCTCCGGGTGTCGAGTTGTAGAATCGGCCCGATCAGGTGATGGCTCTCGAAGTGGGGGTGCTCATCATCCATCCCATCAAAAAACCGCTTACTAGCTTGCCACCAATCAGTGGCAAGCTCAGCCTCTCTAGGTGTCAGCCTCTGTAATGGATAGTTGGCCTCCTAACAATATAAAAGCTCAAACAAAGTTAAACTTGTACTAGTAATAACTTGTTTATATATGCCATATATTATTTGTGTGTTAACTTACATCATTCATCGTCGTATATGGGAGTAAATTTTCCCAATCCAACATGCGTATCCTCTTCCAGGTAATAGCCCTAGGAATATCATTTGATCTTTTTATCGCATATGTCTGCATGCTAGGGAAAGCCTCAAATATCCAAATCTACAAAACAATATGATACACAAACATTAGTAATTGTTAAATAATTAATTATAATTTTGGAAACATTATATAGAAATTCTTACCTTGAAGGCCCAAGTAAAGCCTGTCAAAGTGTATTTAGAACCATTGCCCCACAAACTTTTTCGGTTCTCAAAGGCATACCACAACTTCTTCCAGGTAGCTTTCCATAGATATGAACCCCACGGAAATAGGTTCCATGCATTTAGGTCATCTACCAATAATATTAGGTCCTCGGAGATTGGTTGTCTGCCCTCTTTGTCTAAAAAGTCGGCATGCAAAAGTAATAAATGGCATACTCGGACAACATCAAGGTCATCCATCCGAGTAAAACCATCTTTATCAAATAATCTCTTCAAGTCGTCGACGTGTATACTCGGCTTCGACTTTGCCAGCTCAGGAAAAACTCGATATAACCATGATGGGCGGGCGATATGACTAGTGTACCGACCTACATCATCGTGTCCGAAGCGTAGACCGGTGATTAAGCAAAACTCCTCCCGCCCAAAACAAGTATACGCCGGTGCCGGAGGAAAATGAAACCATATCTCCTCATCACCACGTTGTATCCCCTCGGGTAGATCGTTAGTCATGGTCTGAAGAAACAAATGTGTCAACATAGCATCTCCACCCGTATGTTGCACTTTCAGCCATGTCCCGAAGCAAGTATCCTCAAACAATTTTCTTTGTAGAGGTGTAAGCGTCGACGCAATTTTAGTGGCTAGGCTTAATTTATTCCTTAAGGTCAATGCAGCCGAAAAAAATTTCTACAAAAACAATAAACATACCAAGTTAGATATACCAAAAACTACAAATTATATACTATAAACAGACATGATATTAAACAGTGAAAACAAAGCCAAATATGTTTCAAACTAGCACGGTATTCACCCAAGTCATTATTCCATCATAGTTCACAAAATGCATCAGATAACATTCCAGAAGTAAGCACTTATATAAACATTTAAAAGGACAACATATAGGTTTAGTGCAGGTTCAAGGACAACATAAAGAGTAGTAGTTTATTCTTGAAACTTAAATTAGCAACACTGTGAAGTTAGTATTTGTCTTTGTTTTTTGGTTGAAGAAATGCAATTCATTCAAGTTTCAATTTGCAGAATAAAAGAAGTTTCTGAAACTAAAATTCGCAACGCGATTTTAGTTTCGCGTTGTGAATTTGGTGTTGCGATTTAAGGTTTCTTCAACAAAAAGATAAAACAAAGATAAATACTAACTTCACAGGGTTAAAGACTAAACAGTTTAACAGTATTGACAGCAACCGAATGAATTTAGCAATCTCAGTGAAATGGTTAATCTAATAATAATACAAAAATTTCAAAATAAAAATAATTAAAAAACTAACCATCGATGGTTGATTTTCCATTTCTGACCGTGAATGGTTGTGAGGGTTGCTATGAGAGATGGAGATAGATGGATTTCGTCGGAAATGGGGACGGATTTCGTCGGAGATGGGGACGGATGTCGCCGTAGAGAGTGAGAGATTAAGATGAGACTGAGTTGTGCTTTAGGGTTTTAGGTTAGAGATGATTTACGATAATACTGTTTACATTTGTATTGCGAAATTAATATTGTGTTTCGCGTAAAAATATTTGATTTTCGCGTTGCGAATTTGACTATCGCGTTGCGAATTTGACTTATTAGTTGTGATTTACAAATTCGCGTTGCGAATTTGACTATCGCGTTGTGAATTTGGAAAATCGCAATGCGATTTACATATTCGCATTGCGAAATTGAAAACTGAGTTGCGAAATTGGAATTCACATTGCGAATTTGAGATCGCGTTGCGAATTTGTTGGTCATTTTGACAAATCTAAAAAAAATTAGTTAAATTCGTATATTATAAGGCATTTTTGGTCACTGAGGTTATTTTCTCTTGTTAAAATTCTAATTATATAACGTGTAGAACAATGACGTACAATTGTAAAACAATTATTAAGCTATTTTTTAAAGTTTTTAATGGTCTCTCTTTTTAAATCAATCACATTTTTAATATTATTTTTTAAAATAATATCTTTTGAAAACGTTATATTTTTAATCTGATAATGAAAATGTAAATTTTAATATGATATTAACATAATTAGTTTATAATTATAATTATACTTTAATTAAATATGTATCACATTTCTTATTAAATAAATATTAATCCAATTGAAATAAATATTTTTATAATATTTAATATAATTTAGAAATCATATTTTTTTAAAGAAAACTATACTTTTTCGTTAAAGTGGCCAATTAATTGTGAATTTAAGATTAAACTAAACCTTATTTTGCCGACAAAACTTTAAAGAGGCTTCCACGTCAGCACGAGGCGGACAATCCTAAAGGCGCATGTTAGAGGAGTGCAGAGTTTGAAAGGGTGGGAGTGGAGAAACTGAGGACAACGGCGGACATTTCGAACCCCACTCTCTCTATCTTTGATTTAACAAACTGCTTATCTAGACCAACCCTTTCTCTAATTCATTGCCTTCTTCTCCATTTTGCCCCTATCTATCTTGTTCCTCCATATTTCCCCTCATTGACCATTCCACTTGGCTCTTCCTTTCCTCTTCCAATGGAGTCCGCTGCTCTCAAGTCCTTCCACTGTAACTCTCTCTCTCTCTCACTTATTCGTATCTCTTTTGATATTTATTGTTCTTCTTTGGTTGGGTTTTGTTTTGTTTCATTGGAAACCAGTTGAGAAAAGAAAGGATAAACGGTGACATTTATGAATATATTTTTTAGTTTTTTTATGTTTTGGATCTAATAATTGTATGTAGTTTTTGTTCATTTTTACCGTTTTGTGTAAAATATGTGCTTTCGAAGATGAGAAATTTGAAATTAGCTCCAAAACTTGAGGAGATCTGCCTTTAATTATTTATTTTTCCTACTTACTTCTTCCTTTCATGCTGTGAATATCGGTTAAGAATGTTAAGCTAGCTAATTATGTCAATCTAATTTCCTTAAAATAAAATTAGAATTTTTTATGTTGATTTTGCTTTTAGAAAGTTCTGATTCTCCAGATCATGCTAGGTTCATTCTTCAATACCCGCTCCCCCGATATCTTTGGGAGTTCTGATGTTACATAAACCTCATATAGTCGAACTATATGAGGTTTTATGTTTTCCCTCAAGAAAAGTGTTAATTTTTTTATTGTTCGATGTATTCCCTCATAAAAGAACACAAGAACTGAGAGAAAAAGTGGGTGCTGATTTTCATTCTTAAATTGCAAAGTGAACTTTGTAATTCTCATAGCTTATAAGCAACAGATTCACTGTATTTTGAACGATTTCAACATTTTGAATGTTGTATTTCTAGTTTACTGGAGTCCTTTAGTTGGGATACTTTGTAAGCCATTTTCGTTCTACTGTGTGAAATCAGTGTTGTCCTTCCTACAAATAGCATGATCTGCTGCTGGCTTATCTGGTTCTTTGTTGGTATTCATTTCTTATCATATATGCAAATCTATGAGTTTGCATGTTTCTTATGTAGCTTCTTTTTCCATTGAAAGTACACATGCTGTTATTAAAATTTTAGATTCCGTAGGTGCTGTTTCACAAAGGCCGAGTAAGTTTTGTATGTCTTCTGGTTGCTGGTCAAATTCAAGAAAATCATGTGCCCTAGGCTTGATGGTTGGCGGGAAGAATTCTTCTAGAAGACGAACTGTAACTTTAACAGCATCTGCAAAGACACCTGAAGCTACAGTAACAGCCAAGCCAAATGGTTACATTATATTGACTTCTGATTAAATTTTATCTCATGGGCCTTATTTTAACTCTTTTAGTAATCATAGTCTAACTGCCACTGAACCATGGCACAGTGTTAAAACTAATCATCATTGCATTTGGGTTATATTCTTATGTCCAAACTTGGCCCTTCATTATTAATGATTTATACTGGTTGTACAAAGCAAAACTGTTTTTTTTTTTAAATACTAAGAGTTGTTAATTATGTTTCCATCCATTAGATAGCACCTCCCAAGGCTCATTGGAGAAGAAATCTTCAAAGAATGCAACTTTTCCAAATGGATTTGAGGTGATTGTTGGATCTGTAAATCGAGTCATTTTCATTATTGCTTTTCATTGCTCGCTTTTGTTTTTATTCCAAGTGGCTAGATAATTAACATATTACCTGTCAGGCATTGGTAATGGAGGTATGTGATGAAACTGAGATTGCGGAGCTGAAAATGAAGGTTACTTCCTCTTCTCTTGTCATTTTATATGCTCGCTTGCTTCTGCTGAACTTAGTCTCATGTCTCAGTGATTAACCTGAAAATTTCCTCTTATTACATGTCTAAGTGCAGCTAGCCATATTTCGGTTTTTAGTTCCTTTTATGATTGTTGCATTTCCCCACAAATAAACATTTTTCAAATCATTTATCTGTTTCTTTGCGATAGATTGGAGACTTTGAAATGCATCTGAAGCGGGATGTTGGTGCCACAAAAGTTCCCTTGTCCAACATTTCACCTACAACAGCCCCACCAATCCCATCTGAACCAATGAATGAAACAGCTGCTGCTACCCAACCTCCATCACCACCGAAACCCTCCCCTGAGAAGCCTACTCCATTTAAAAATTTTGCCTTTGGGAAGTCATCCAAGTTAGCTACCTTGGAAGCATCTGGATCTAGCAACTATGTTCTAGTTCCTTCTCCCATTGTAAGTACTGTTTATCAAGATCTAGGGTTATAGCCTATTATATATATCTTTGAACACTTTTTTTCTTCTCATCACCTTACTGCAGGTTGGTACATTCCGAAGAGGCAAAACAATTAAGGGGAAAAGGCAACCTCCCATCTGCAAGGAGGTACTAGTTTCAGTCTCAATGGCGTGTTATGACCTACAACATTTAAAACATACTCTGATTACAAATATTGTGGATGTTTAATACTTGCAGGGTGATTTGATCAAAGAAGGACAACTGATAGGATTCTTGGATCAATTTGGTACCGAACTTCCTGTTAAGGTGAATTCAAATTATTTCCACTTGTTAGTTATATTTTTTTCATTTTGGGTAGGTATTGAATGGTTTGTATTATTGATTTATTAACAGTCGGATATAGCTGGAGAAGTCTTAAAGATCCTCTTCAATGATGGAGGTATAATTTTATCTGGATTTCATATTTATTTCGGTTTTAATGTTTAGATCCCTTACAGCAATGCCAGATTAAGGTTGATTTTCGTTGAACTCTGCCTTTGTTTCAACTGTATTGAACAGATGCCGTAGGATATGGAGATCCACTCATTGCAGTCTTGCCATCATTTCATGGCATCAACTGATCTCTCTCCTATGGCATTTTGGAAGAGATTACGTCACAAAATCTTCAGGGTATGCGTTTCGTTTTCTTGCATCATTTTGTAGTGTCATTTGTGCCATCGTTTGATTGAGTAACCTGGACACTTGTAAACAATGTTGCCAGTGTGTTGAATTCCAAGGATACAATACAATAAATGTGCAAGGATATCACAGATTGAGAGTTTTACCAAGTGTATCACCTAAATTTTTTTGTGTAATAATTTTTTAGACTTTTTTTGAGTTTTGCATAACTGCCTACCAGTTTACATAATGGCTACCTGCATTATTGGTACCTGTGACTGTGACCTGCACATGCAAAACGTATGGAACTGCCATAAATAAGACCATCGAATGCTTAGTTTGAAATTTTTATGGCAGCAGACATTGAAACACTAATGGAAACTAGTTCCACCAAGGCCATGGTGTAACAGATTGTGAGCAATGTTATCCCTAGCCAGCACGGCATTCGAAAACCTCGAGTTATTCCCAGTTATCATCGCATCATCAAAAAGCTCAAATTGTAGTTCAGGGTCCATCTCCTCATTGTTCACCTCACAAATGTTATGCAGAACACAGCAAGCCCCAATCACCATTGGCAGCTCTTGAAGCTTTACCTCTGTTCTCTTCTGCAAGCAAGCCCACCGCCCTTTCAACCTAGCAAATGCTTCCTTAGCAACGTTTTGAACCTCACTGATTTTTTCATTGAAACCATGCTGAGCCCAAGTCAAATTATGGTGCCCGTATGGAACCAAAAGCCAATCCATCAAAGGGTACCCAGGATTCCCAACAATCCAAACATCCTTCAAGCTCCCTTTACTGGCCCTTTTGAACAAAGCAGACTTCTCCAGCACTTGATCATCAGGCATTGAACCGGGCCATCCGATACAAACATCTCTGAAAATCCCCTCTCGATCGACCACTCCTTGGACTGTAATTGAGTAAGATGTTTTCTGGTTCCTCTCTGTATGTCTTCTATTGAAATAAGCTGCTACATTGAACTTGGGTGCTATAATTGGCACATGAGTTGTATATAACGAGCCCCCTATATTTGGAATCCCCGATATCGACTCAAATTCCTCCTTAATTTCTTCCATTTTCTTCTCATCAGGCCATTGAAGAAATTTGGGCATTAAAACAGTGTTTATAGCTGAACATACCTCCAATACCAGCTTATGACAAGTTGAAATTCCGAGTCCAAATCGTTTCGAAACCTGCCTAAGCGGCTCCCCGGTTGCCAACCTCCAAATGCAAGCAGCCACTCGCTGTCGAACAGGGATAGCGTCCCTCAACGTAGTATTCTTCTTCATCACCACCGGCTCCAACTCGCAGCATATCAACCCAAACGTTGATTTACTCATCCGAAACGCCTTCCTAAACTCTTCCTCAGGAAAATCCTGATGGTTACAACAATCCCACCAGTCCTGAGATCGGTCTTTCACCCATAACCTCCTCTGCTGACCCGTCGCCATCGCAATGCCCTTACTCGTTTCGTCACCCAAATCAACTTCGCCATTCCCTGATGCTGTTGCAACAGCGGCTACCAATACAGAAGCTGATTTCCATGACTGTTTCCCAGTATCCAAACGATTAACTTCAGAGTAATCCTGTTGAAGGTGATCGTAGAAGTCATTCGTTGCTTGAACTTTTCTTTTGTGATTGGATTCAAACAAATCTTTCTCGTGTCGGGATTCAGTTATCCACTGAGCTTCCTCTTGTTTCGCTTCTTCTTCTAACAAGAGCGAAGCAAGGATATCACCGTATCCACTCTTGTTCAATTCTTCTTCATTGAAATACCCATTGCCACTCTCGTCTTCCTCTTTATACTTGTCGTTGAACCCGTTGTCAAGCTCCTCGAACCAGGGGCTAGTAATACTGTAATAATCTTCCGGACAGTGAAATGTGAAAGAAGAAATGTCCATATTCAGATGATTTGAAACTTGGATATGGGAGCTAAGGGTGTTGGAATTAGCCGTTTATATACATGGAGTCAATTAGAATTAATAGGAGAAGAGGAAGAGGGGTAGGAGAAGAGGAAGAGGGGGAGGAAGGTCGGCGGGAAAAGGAAGCGCGTGGGGTGTCAGCGAATGTGAACGCGGTGGTTTTGACGGTGACTTGACTTTTCTGGATTTAGTTTGATAGGAACTTTACGCGGTCGAAGGCCGAGATTGAGAAGAATATTTTTTTCTATTGAAGAATTTTAAAGTGAAGAGAAAGTTAGTTCGAAGAAGTTTCATGAGGTTTGAGATGAGCTGAAGTTTCATTTCGTTTCATGATTTCATTTACACTATTTACCACATTAATTTATACATTCAATAATGTAGTCAAAAAACCTTAAAATAGTTTTTTTATTAATCTATAAGTAATTATAAAATAATATATATGTTTAAAAATTTTATTTGATAATAAACGTTTAAACACGATGTGCCTAAAATTAAAACTTCTCTTTAATCACCAAGTAGTTTGATTCAATTTTAAAATCTTAAAACAGTTATTTAATGTGTTGCAAATATTTACATTCCAAATTGTTTTGACTGTTAATTTCAATTAAGTTTTTAGCATCTCTGTCAAATATTGACGAATGATACTTGCTAAAATATGGAGTTCTCAGACATCATCATGTGTTACCAAATGATGAAATCTTGAAAGCTAACAATTGTTGTTGTTAAATATATAGGATCCTTATCAGGTATATTGTTGGTGGTTCTTTTTTTACGAATAAAATTAAAATGTTGATAAATTTTTTAAGTATTTATTTATTTTTAAATATATATAAATAACAATAGCTGGCGTTTCACTGTTCAAAAAAATTAATATGAATCTAATCTTACTTAAAAGAAGTTTACTAACGATATCAAATTGAATGGGGATTGGTTTATTTGGTATGTGTTGTTATTAGGCTGTGTGTGATTATTTGTTTTGGTGTTTTTGTTTGTTTCTAGTTTATTTGGTGGTGTATAGGGGTGGTCTCTTTTGGATGAATAATATTCTTCATTTATCCAATATATATATATATATATATATATATATCAAATTATAATTTTATGCACACGGGTCACTTTTAACATCTGTAATCATTAACCATATTATTTATCCCAAAAAAAAACATGTAATTTACTACCATCACTGAATATAATCAATAACATGATAGATTGTGAGAGTTCAAAAAAATTATTTTTTTGTACTATGTGTGAGGTGGTATATAATTAATGGCTGAGTTTAATATTATTTTTTAGATGGTCATTTAATATATATATATATATATATATGGGTTATGATTCACTTACACAAATTTATGACCGTTTGATGAATAAAAATAGATGATTGAGATTGACTCTTTGTTTCTTTCTCAGTAAATATCTTCAAATTTCCTGCTTTTAATCTTAGACATCTGTTTTCACTCATCTAACGGTCATAAATATGTGTAAAACTATAACCTCAATATATATATATTAGTTAAAATATTTTAGTACTTTTGTCAATATAAATTATATATCAAAATATTATACTAATAAAAGAACATATATATATATTGATTAAAATTCATCTACTAAATATTCTTACATTGACTTACATAGCCTAAGATCATATTTTATAAATAGAATATTTGTAATGTCTCGGATCCCAGGTTAGGAGTTTTTGGACTAACCCGAGATGGGCTTTGGGCAAGTATTTTGGCTTAGAAGAAGTCTTGACCCAAAAACAAGTGAAATTAGGCTTGTATTGAGCCCAATAGTGGTTAAAAATGATATTTTTAGTTTACAGTCAGAATCAAAAGAACCAAGGGAGTAATTAGACCATTGTTCAAATTTAAAGTTTAAATTCTTTAATTGAAGATGATATCATGTTTGAAACTCAAGCCTTTTCTTTTCTTCACTTCTTTTGTCTTATTTTCCCAAGCTCTTCTTTTCCTCTTATCTTATTCTTAAGCAAGTTAAGTTAAAGGAGAGAACTTTAGCTTATTCTTTAGTATTCCTATCAAACCAAGGTAAAAATCAATATTCTCATACCTTTAGCTCCATCTCAAGCACATATGCACAAGGTTTGACCATGATTTTAGAAAATAGGGTTTTGTGGAGTTTGGAGAACTCAGAGATTTCAACTCATGCCCAGAAAGTTTAAGCCTTTAGAAGTTATTTAAAACCTTTCATAATCTCTAAACTTAGTTAGTAATCTAGTAATCTATTCCTTTGATTCTTGCTTAGTGAAAGAGGTTGGAGAGAGCTCTCAAGAAAAGGGGAAGGAAAAGCTTACCTTGGGTTGAGCCATTGACATTACTAGTAGGTTAGATACTCAAGTAACTCACTTCTAACTCATTTATACCAATTGTAGTTCATTTAGGTGAGTTTTGTTATGTGCATAAGCTTGAAGCATGTTCATGGTAATTTACATCGTTTGAGTGTTTTCAGACTGATGCCAACAGTTAAAATGAAATGCCCCAAGAATGCTACCTTTGATAGCCAAAATTTGCACTTCCCGAACTTGGTATACAATTGTATGTCTCTGAGGATTTGAAGTACGATACGGAGATGATGGTTATGCTCGTCCTCTAATCGTGAGTACACCAGGATGTCGTCTATAAACACCACCACAAACTGGTCCATGTATGGGTGAAAAACACGATTCATTAGGTCCATGAATGTCGTCAGAGCATTGGTGAGTCCAAATGACATCACTAGGAACTCGTAAATCATACCGAGTTCGAAAAGATGTATTTGCCACATTTTTATCTTTGAATTTCAATTGATAATAGTCTGATCACAGATCAATCTTTGAAAAGACACACACTCTTCTAAGCTGGTTGAAGAGGTCATCTATTCTAGAGAGTGGGCAATGGTTCTTGATGGTTAGCTTATTCAACTGTATGTAATCGATGCACAACTTCTTCGACCCATCTTTCTTCTTAACAAATAAGACTGAAGCTTCCCAATGTGATATGCTCGGTTGGATGAAACCTTTCTCTAGCAACTCCTAAATATGGGCCTTCATCTCAGTTAGTGCCATGCGATAGTTGGTGTCATGTGATAGGGAGTAATGGACACTAGGGTTAAACCTGGCATTATCTCAATGTTAAACTCCACTTCGCGATCGGGTGGTAAACTTGACAACTCCTCTGGGAGCACATCGGGAAGTCTCACATTGTTCGTATATCTTCGAGTGTTGGTACTAAGATTCGGGTGTCAATCATCTTTTGGGCTTGCACAATTGATACAATCCTCGTCTAATGAGATCTCTTACAGGTCATCGCCAAGTTAATTCCATCGACGGCTCTGAGCTTAAGTTGCCTAGCTTTGCACCTAAAACTGGCATCATTCTCGATTAACCAATCTATCCCTAAGATCAAGTCGAACACCTTGAAGGGTAACTCCATCAAGTCCGTTAAAAAGGTCTGATCCTTAATCCTCACTGGGCATCGTCTGAAAATTTTATCCATCAGGACGTCTAAACCTAGTGGGCTAAGAATTGAATACCTATCTCTAGGTTATCTGCCAGGATTTGTATTTCTTTAACTAAGTCAAATCAGATGTAATAATGGGTAGAATTAAGGTCTATCAATGCAGTAACTGGTAAAGAAAATACCATAAAGATATTTGATATGACATCTGTCGCATTGTACTCCTCCCTGGTGTACCGCATACTGTCTGGATGCCACTCTAAGCTCTGCATCGGCGACTGATCTAGCTGTCCTACGACTCTAGTATCCCGATACAAAACTACCACCCCTAGTCGGTCATCGGCCTCTCTGCACTAGTGATGTCGATAGGTGAGTCGCTACTGAAGTTGTACCCTGAGCTCCTGGGCAGTCTTTGGTGAAATTACCCATAGAGTTGACTCTATAGCAATCTTCATACCCCAACTAGTATGTCCTCATGTATCTCTTCCCATACCTATAATATGAAGAAAATGTGAACCCTCTTGTCGATTCACTAGCAACACTCCTAGAAGCTAAGTTTAATGGTTTTCTTCTCGAGTCAGACCTGCCTCAATGACCCCGAACTTTACCCAATATTTTAGGACTGCGTTGCTGGGTGCCTCGAAGAACCCTGACTATCTCTGGCTCTCTTGACTGGAATTTGAGAAGGCATCACCGAATCATCGGCTCTTCTAACTTGTCCTGTAGCCTCACTAGACTTCCTAGTTTGCCTATCCAAGGCTCTCTCAACTACCTTCGCCTAATAGGAAAACTTAACAAAGACTCTGAGAGGACCTGCTGCAAGATGGGTTAAAATTTGACCTCAAAGGCTCTCTCTAAAATGGTAGCAGCGATGCTCCTCAGTCGGAATCAGCTCTACTATATACTTACTGAGCCTGAGAAACTCCTTCTCATACTTCACCACTAAACGATCACCCTGATTTAAGTGTAGGAAATGTCCTATCAAATTATTGGTGTGGATCTGTCTGATGTACTTCTCTCTGAATCGGGTGAGGAACTGCTCCCAAGTATGTATATCTAGCTCCATCGCCAACTCTATCATCTCTCATAACTCTATCACGTCACCCTTAAGTACGGAGGTGACGCACTCCTTAAGTAGGGATGTGACGCACTCTAAGTTACCCTCTAGGGTGAGATGCAGTTGTCGAAGGGTACGAAACGTCTCTCTAAGCCATTGGTCCGCTACAATAGGATCATCATCCTCTGAACCGAAGAACTCGGTGGTTTTATATCTCTAGAGCTGCTTTATAGAAATGCTACTGGTTGAGCTAGAGGTGCTGGTAGGGGAGGTGGTGCAGATGAAGAATTAGGGAGTGGTCTAGCTATCTGCCTAAGTACGAATGTGAGGTCTCTGAAGAAGGTAGCCTGCTTGACCCCCTGCATCTACTGGATCCTGATGGTCGTAGGTATCTGGGATAAATCCCTCACTGACATGGGGTGGTGGTGAGGTATGACTCTCGTATATGTTATCTTGACTATAATATGGGTCGTATATCATAGGGTAT